AATTAACTATTTGCTAATAAAACCTATGTGGTGTCTTTGTGATTTTGTAACAGTAACATTTAGTCTTTGATATCTGGAGAAATTTGGAGAGAGTGGATGTTTTTTCACCTGGTCTTCTGCAAAGTATTTGACACATTTTCCCACAACCTTGTCCTAAGACAAACCTGTAAGATATAGATTGGATGGGTGGTCTGAGTAGGAAGTAGCTAACAGATCACACTCACAGGGTGGAAGTCCATGATTTTACTCTACCTATCAGCCTGTCACAAGTGGAGTTCCCCAGGGATTGATACGAGGCCCCATGCTGGCCAACATCGTCATAAACTGCTTGGATGATTAGACTGAAAGCACCCTCACTGGGTTTGTTGATGACACCAAAATGTGTGTCATCAAAAGTAGAGTTGGACACATCAACTGGGAGAGCCATTTTACTGAGAGATTTGCAGAGGCTGGAACAGTGGTTTAGCAAGAACAATATGAAGTTTAACAAAGACAAGTACCAAGTCTTGCACCTGGAGAAGAATGACCAAACAGCCCAATACACAATAAGACCTGTGTGGCTGGAGAGCAGTCTTGTTCAGAGGGCTCTAGGGGTCCTGGTGGACAGCAAACTGGACACCAATAAGCAGTGCACTTCTGCATCAACAAAGGTAAATCAGATTCTGAGTATCATCTGCAGGGACATTCCTAGCCGAGCTAGAGACATGATCATCCCATTCTACTCAGGACTTGTCAGGCCACACCTGGAGGACTGTCTTCAGTTCTGGCCCCCACAATTCAGGAGCCACATAGACAAACCAGAGAGGGTCCAAAGGAGGACAACAAAGATGACCCAAGGACTGGAATCTGTCCAGTGAGGAAAGGCTGAAGCAGTTAGGTCTTTTCTCCTGAAGAGAGGAAGGTTCACTGGGAATTCATCCAGTATTCAAATACATAAAGCATGGTTAAAAAAGAACAGAGGCTCTTTCTTCACAAGGAGTCACATGGAGAAAACAAGAGGCAACAGGTTGCATCAGGATAGGTTTCATGTCAGCATAAGAAAGACATTTTTTTTGCAGTAAGAACAATCATTCACTGGAACAACCTCCCCACGGATGTGGTAGAGTCCCTATCAACAGAGGTTTTCAAGATGCAATTTGAGAAAGAGCCTAGATAATCGCATCTAGGTTCCTGTTCTCATGAAAGGTCAGACCAGATGATCTACCAAGGTACCTTCCAGAGTGGGCTGTCCTGTGATTCTATACTTGTTACTATAAATCATAAATGTATTTTTATAGTCTTAATTTATATCAATTTTTCTTAGCTTTGAAGTCTAAACAGTCTTGAACTTGGATCTGATGTTTCTCTGTGATGTTTTTACCATCTTGAAGGAAAACTCAGTGTAGTACTATTAGTTGAGCAGATTTCATATTACTGTGAAGAATCGTCCTATATAGTTAAAAAAGAAATTTACAAATCAACACTTATTTTTTAAATGCATTACTATTATGATATCCCCCTGAAAACCCACAACCACAAGAGATAAACATGTTACCTTTGTATAAGAATTTAAATCAATTTAATAGCACTGTAAAGTTCATAGTCTATGTTAGAACCAGCATTCTAAATCTGTAAATTAAGTTCCAACCAAATTCACCTACCATTGTGTGTTTGAGAAAGCATAATAGAGACCACAATATACTTTAATCTCTGCGAAACCTGAGTTATTTATAACCTGCTCTCTCTCCTTAACAGAAATAAGTCATTTGACCTTGTGTTTGGTACACATATTTACCTTTGAAGCATGTGTTCCATGTGTTGCACAGTGCACTGTTACTGCAAAGCACCACTGGTTAAGCATATTTCCCACGAAACTATAAGATCTCCTTTTCAAATTTTTGTAACTTTATCAGACTAATATGTTGGACTGAGCTTTTGCACGCCAAATGTCAGCCAATCGAAAATTTATTTTAGTTTGTTAGAGCTGTAAGAGACGATGAGAAAAGGAGAGAAAATAAGGCTTGTTCTGGATGGAGTTTTTATGTCTAGTAAAGTATGTGTGAATTCAAGGAATGTCAAATACTGTTGCAGTATGCTATGCCTGTATTCATCAATCCAAAACGCCATGGATTCCATGCACAAACAGAATCTCTGGGCAAATATGATTTTAAGCCTTGCATGGGAAGGAAAGAAAAAAATTGACAGTTGTCACTCAACTGTCTCCCATTACAACATTATTCCCTAAAGCCCATTCCTGCTGCAACTCTGGAAAGGTAGTGTTTTTAATTTTTCGTTATATAGTCTTATTATAGAAAATATTCTGGGTAAAAGAAGAGAATTCACTTTTTTCTTTTTTTTTCTTTTTTTTAGAAGTTTTGTCTTTTGAAGCTCTCATTTTGTAGTGCCTTACTTTCCCCTCACTTTCAAATTATAATCAGTATTTCAGTCAATTAAGTAACTTTTCTTTAAAAAATCAGCTTCAACCCAAACTGCACTTAATTATGACATGATTTCATTTCTCTAACTACTGTGAGTCAAAAAAACATAGTCAACTAAGCATCCACTCTACTGCTTCCGCTGTATATCCACATATTTTTGAGTTTCTCTTCCCTTTCCTATTAATCGTACGCAGCTATTAAACATGCAGAGACAAATTTAATTACTGTATGCAATCAGTAGCACTTCATAACTTTGCCTCTAAACATTCTTAATGGATTTTTTTGGCAGTTGTTATGAAAAAGTGATGAAAGTTTAGTTGGTTGGGTTAAAAATTTCTTCCTATGAAAGTATGACCGTTCAGCTGCAGTGTCTCACTTAAGGTTATAGATACTTAGCATCTTGCATGGATTGCTTCATAATTATTTTTTTTTTTTTTGCCTATGTGTGCACTAGTTGTGAGGCAATAAGCCTAGTGCATCTAAGCATCTCTGTAATACACAATGTACCAAGATTCAGCTTCTTTGATTATGGCATTGAATGGTTATTGCTGGCCCTCAAAAGCAAGTGGAAATTCTTCATTCAGTCCTAAACAACAGCAGCTGAATACAATATAAAAAGCATCTAAAATAGATTGCATGAGAAAAAAATTTCAGAAAAAAATCAAAATTTTAAACCCAAGAAACTAATAGCAAAGATTTTGAGAAAATATGAATTGGAAAAAGCATTCAAAATAAACATGGTTCTATTCCAGGTTGGATGTAAACAAATATCACAATAGCAGTACAACGCTGTGAAATGGAAATGCTGAGTTTGAAAAGTGAAGAAAAGAAAAAGGCTGCAAGACACTGTACTGATTTTGTGCTTCTAGGAAACCATTGCCAACAGGGTCTTTATGGATCCCAAACTTCTTTTTCAGAAACTAATAATACTTTCTACCCTTTCTGGAAGTCTAACACTTCTAGGTTCATGTTGAGCACAGGACAACCATGAACTCAGCCAAATGGAATATCCATCTGCCCAGTTCTACAGGAGCTGTGCTACCGTGATTATCTCAGTAAAATTTTGCAGTGTTTTCTCTATGTGTTTTATTCTGACCATTGATTAATTAATATCCTTTCCCTCTGTTTTTGAACAGCTTTCACCCATTCCCTTCTTGATAACAAAATGCAAGATGAGTTGACACCATACTTGTTAACTGAGATTTCGGCCTGAATTACCTTATCACCACCCAACCGCGTTAGATCAATGCAACATAATGGCATTTCATTTCTATTAATTTCTCTTACTAATACAGTCACCATATAAAGGATTACTGTCTGGAAAGTTTTAAGCAATGCAGTTACCTCCAATTACTTGGAAAGTATTCTCTCTCATGCAAACAAGATTATAGAATCATAGAATGGTTTTGTTTGGAAGGGACCTTTCAAGATCAGTTAGTGGAACTCCCCTGCCACTGGTAGGGACATCCTTCACTAGAGGACATTATTCAAAACCCCATCCCATCTGATCCCTTTCAATGATGGGGCAGCAGCCAGTAACCAGGCAGCAAACACATTCACAATCAAAGACTTTAGGTTTTGGGTTTTTTGACTTTCATTGTAAGCAGAACTCTATCAATAATTTCCTTTCAAAATGTTTAACAGTTGCTTATTTTACTATGAGAATTGTTAATAAATCAGTTGTCATTTTAGATAACATTTATTTACTCCTAGTAATATTATTGCAATGGGCCAAATCGCTCGGTAAAATTTTGCCATTCAGAATGTAAAAATCATTCTCTAGACACTCGTTTCTATGAATGAGTATCCCATTCTCTATACATAAATTACAAAACAGGTTTAAAAAAAAAAGATAGACTTTGGAGTTTGAGGTTTAGGAGTTGTTTATGTACAGAACAAATAGAGGTCTACATAGCAAGGTCTTTATACCCTCCTATAGTAAGCTAATAATGGTAACCAAGATAATGAAATTTGGTTTTGCTTAAAGTTTGGCCTCCATGTGTTTCACGTCCAGAAATGGTCTGAATGCAACAATGAAAAACGCTCATGATGTATTTCCTTCTTTCCTTTTAATAATTTAAACTGTAAGCTTAATACCAATACATGTGGTCTGTATATTAAATTTTCAAATATATGCTTCTTTGCATTAAAATCAATAGAAGAGTCACTCTCAAGCAAGAATATTTGTAGATGAGTACAGTAGTCCTGCCAAAAGACAATATTTTCTTTAACTCACATCCATCTCAATCTCACCCAGAAAATTATGCAATTAGTTAAATTTCCCTGCCTTCTCTATGCTGGCTTCAATACTTATGAGTTTGTTTGCAAGTGTGGTGGTTTGACCCTGACTGGACACCAACTGCCCACAGAAGCTGCTTTATCATCCCCTCCTCAGATGGGCAAGGGAGAGAAAATTGAGTAAGAACCTCATAAGGACAGGGAGAAATCACTCACTAGTTATCATCATGGGTGAAACAGACTTGAGGAAAATAATTTAGTTTAATACCAATCAAGTCAGAGTAGAGTAATGATAAATAAAATCAAAATCTTAAAAACACCTTCCCCCCACCCCTCCCTTCTTACCAGGCCCAACTTCACTCCTGATTTCTTTCCCATCTTCCCTCCACAATGGCATAGGACGACAGAAAACAGGACTTACAGTCAGTTCATCACACATTGTCTCTGCCACTCCTTCCTCTGCAGGTGGAGGACCCCTCATACTCTTCCACTGCTCCAGAGAGAGGGTCCCTCCCACAGGAGACAGTCCTCCACCAACTTCTCCAAAATGTGTCCTTCCCACAGGCTGAAGTTCTTCATGTACTGCTCCAATGTGGGTCCCGTCCATGGGATGCAGTCTTTCAGGAACAGGTTGCTCCAGTATGGGTTTCCCAGGGGGTAACAGCCTCCTTTGGGCATCCACCTGCTCTGTCATGGGATAGTCCATGGGTTGCAGGGAGACAGACTGCCTCACCATAGTCTTCCCTTAGGCTACAAGGGAATCTCTGCTCTGGCACCTGGAGGTGCCCTACTTCTCCTTCCTTGACCTTGGTGTTTACAGAGCTGTTTCTCTCACACGTTCTCTCTCCTCTCCAGCTGCAGTTGCAGTTGCACAGCACTTCTTAAACAAGTTATCCCAGAGGCACTGCTACCGTCACTGATGGGCTTGGCCTTGGCCAGCAGTTGGCCTGTCTTGGAGCCAGCTGGCCCATCTTGGACCAGATGGTATTGGCTCTGTTGGACATGGGGAAAGCTTCTGCCAGCTTCTCACAGAAGCCACCCCTGTAGCCCCTCTCTACCAAAACAAAAACCATGCAATGCAAAACTGGTACAGCAAGAAAAGCAAGGAGATAGGAATTGCTCAGGTTTTTATTCAACTAAAAGAACTCTATTACCATAAATGAAAACAAAATCAGGAATCAAAGGAGAAAAAAAAAGGTGGCATGACTCCAGATAATGTTTGTAGAGACCTATAGTAAACATTTAACAAATTAAAAAGGTGAATTCCGTCAGTAAGGTCCTTGCAAATACCACAACCTGTGTTAATTAACTTCTGTCTGCTGTCCAGTCTACTTTGGTGGATAGTGATTCCCTTCAGAAACATCGCCAACTGTGTTGGCACAGGCTTCATGAGATAAAGGCAGTTAACACTAGGATCAGATTTCTGTCCTCGTGTTACGTTTTATTCAGATAGGAGACAGTACTCTAGCATAAACAATCCCTTTTTAGCTCTCTAGTACACATACAGAAATTCTTCTGCTTTTCATGCAAGGAAGGAAAATCAAGCCCTTTTTTATTTTTTAAAGTAAATAATTTTTTAAAATTCTCTCATAAAATAATGTCCTCTCTATATCATTGCACAGAACAGATTTGGTTGGCTCATTTTGATGTTGATTTCTTGCATTTTCATATTTTTTTCCAAAGCTGACTCCAGGTTCAAAAGAATTACTGGGAGCAGCTGGGCCAAAAACAGCCATGGTGAGACTTAACTCAGCCCGTCACCTTGTGAGAAGAGTGGGAGCAGAAGCTGAAGCAATTTCTATGTCATTTACTGGAAAGGAACTCTGACAATTCAGATGGAAACTAAATAAAAAATGTGACTGATGATCTGCCGCTTGTCTCTGCTGAGGTGCAACTCACTTGCCTAAATCTGTTCTTATCAAGACACCTATGCTCAGTCCTTTAGCTTTGCCAGAAAATATACAACTTGCGTCAGACTTTTGAATCTGACTGAACAGTCACACAGATGCTACACACTTGCTGTGACTCCTAAAACCAGAAAATACTCCTAAAATGCAGAAGACCAAAGCACACATACACAATGAGAGCAAAGTATTAACAGAACAGTTGTAAAGTGAATAGATAAATAACTTTAAAATGGGATAATACTACAGAAATATTAAAGTGAATTTTTTAAGTACTACTGAGATCAGTTAATTTCTCAAAAAGTCCTCTCTATGCTTCTGGTTCTGTGCAAGATCTACCAAGTCATATAAGCTATTGCTTCCACATGTTTAGGGGTTTTTTTATTTATTTATTGTATATCCTGCCAAAATCACCATAGGATCCTCAGAGACATGCAAAAACAGAGCTTTGAGTTTTAAAAATGTCCTTTAAATGCCATATTTAAAGGTATTATTGGTTCCCCACTTGACTTCAATCATCTGTACTCTGATGTTCATTCTGTCAGCATCTATAAGCTATTAATACTATCATTAACAGCACTGCAAATTATAGGATAAAATAAGCATTTGGAAAGTCCTAAGTACACTTTCTCTGGGAATTTAGAAGGAAAAAAATATTCATTGTTATGATTTCTTAAATTCAGGTCTCTCTCTTTAGGTGGAAGAAACATGTAATTTCAGATGTGCCTTATTTATGTTGCTAAGTACAAGTGAGTGTGTCTCTGATGTTCTTTAGTGCTTTACTGTTATTACACCATATTGACAACAAAATAATAAATCATTAAGTTAAAAAAAATGAAAGAGAAAAACTGACACAAAAAAAAATTCCCAAGATACACATACAGAAAAAACTCCACTTCTATAGTACACTGTCAGAGATTAGACCCACCAAGCAGTATATTCTATAGATTCTTGTTTCACTTAGTTGTGCTGGAAATAAGTAATAAACCTACTATCTGATGTACAGAAAAAGAAAAGAAGGAGAAAAATGAACTAACACCTCCTATTAGCTATAACCAGGAGTTATCAACACTCAAGAAGGAAACAAGAAATGTAGGGATGTATGACAATGTCATACAAGATTTTCTACAACAGAAATATTAGCTCTATTTCAGGAAAACAACTAAAGGATGGAGCAAGAAAGGAATCAGACTTATAACTCTGATAAACACCACTTTAAAGGCTGAAGTTGAAAGCCCAGACTCACCCCTTCTGCCTCTGAACAATGGCCTAGTTCATACTTTTTCAGCATCAGAGTTTCCTGAACATCAAATAGTGCTTCTGGGGACACTTTTAACACCTCACTTTCAACACTTTCAACACTTTCAACACTTTCAACAGTGCCTGTTTCAGCTTAAGTCCCATGCCAGCTCTGTGACTGAAAATGTTTACTGATTCATGTATTCACAGAATCCTCATTTTCCTTTTTACCCATCACTCAACGTACCAGGCAAGGAAAGACTTCTGTTCAGTCACCACGCCTGTAAAACTTAATTTTGTCTTGCAGGAAACATTCATGTTGGTTCACACTCAACTCTTTTGGAATGAAACAATTTTGTGAGGAGGAAATAAGGTTACACATACAACCCTAAGCGTGCCCTCTCCAGGCAGCTTTCATAGTACCTAGATCAAGTGGTGACAAATGGTTTAGGTGTACTGTTCAAGGTTGCCAGCTTCTAGAAAAGACCAGCTAATTCCTGTACCTAAGTTTGGGCCTCCTCTGGTCCCCATGTAGTGTTCTTTCAACTCCAAAAAAATATTTTGTAGTTGAATGTGTGTGCCTCTGTGAGAGTTCATAAGTCTGCATGCAAGGTGCAGGGTGAGGAATTCAGCTCTACATGTCTGAAACGACCCAGAGCAATGTTAAACTTTACTAAGGTAGTATTTCTAATAGCATGAAATTAAAGATGTATGTAGAGGATGAGCAGAGGACATTGTGCATACAGAGCTTGCTGTAATTGCACTGAAGGACTACAACAGAGGGTGAGAGTATTATATCAGTGACAGTATTGCCTTTCACACTTGCTGGCAGTGGGCACTAAAACAAGCAAGATGGACATCTAGGTTTTATTTTGGAGAGTACAAGATGGTTTGCAATAGAAAAAAAAAAGAAAAAGAAATAAGAAAAAGTATTTCTTCAGAAGAAAATGAATATTTGAGGGATGTGGGTTGTTGGGGAATAGGGATCTGGGACCAAATAGAGGAGCTAAGATATTAAAATTAAATATATTCTTATCATTGTCCTTGCCCAGAACAACCCACCACCAGGAGATTATGGTATTCTCCAGGATAGAAAAAAAACCTGAGATTTGATTTCAACAGATGGAGGAGAAAACTGATGTTACAGTTTCAAGGCAAGTGCTCTAACTACTAGAGAAGGAGACAGTACTGTCTCATAGATACAGGGGGAAAGAAAGGAAAAAATCAGACAAACTAAATGACTGGGTCATGTTAGGTTTTTGAAAGCTACATGTACACACGTGCATTTTCATGAGTTTGTTTAGGCTGGTTAAGCCCAGGCTTTGCTTAAGCTTGTGGTCCTTATGACCTAGGAGAGTCAGCCTTTAATGTACACCAGTGAAATTAGTGTTTCTTCTGTCTGTCTCATGTAACTCCCTCTTCAGCCAGGTTACACTGACAGAGGCACAGCTCTACACAAGCAGCAGGGCTTTGCTGCCTGCTGCAGGGCTGAGGGTCTTGCTGCAATGGCAAAATATGCAGGGTTTTATTCTACCTCGACCATCCATAGAAGCAAGAATTAGATTACTGTTTTCCATCATAAGATGTTAGACAAACAGAGATTAACTAAATCCAATAAGGTATTCCCTTCTCATTGTCCATACACAGATAATTCTCCCATAATCAGCCAAGAACAAGAAATAATGGATCAAAACTATCTACCCTTGGCATTCTTCACTAACCTGATGACAGAATTACATTTTACACTGGAAGAAATAATTAAAAAGTATTTATTAGTTTTCTAATAAAGAATTAATATACCCCCTAGACCAAAAAGCAGTTATCCTAGGGAAAATTAAATTTGTTTCCTATAATTTTTCATACATCTAGTTTGTCATACCAATTTTGACCTTAAAATAATGTATGCTACTCTATACACAACCTTATAGGAAGAAACACAAAATTGATTTTGAGTGGACAAGGCTGGATGGCTATTATTATCTGTGTTTCCCCCCTACCCTTTATAATTAAAAAATACTTTATAGAATAACATATGAAAGAGTGCCTATCATATCATATGAAAGTACTTTTCTCCCCAGGCTATCAATTTTCTTTTTTTTCTTAAATGTGAATACAAATTTTTACATATGTGTCAGAAACATCTTGGTCCCAAGAAGATAAATGTTAAAATTGCATAGATTTGGAAGGGTTGTTTCTGATATTAAACATCAAGAAAAATAAATAAATAAAGCTGTGCACTTAAATGAGCTCCTCCAAATCAAAAGTAATCAGGTATAAGAGGATGTTATTCCGTGTCTAAGATCAAAGTAGGAGAAGCAGAATTTAAACCTTCAGGAAAGAGAATATTGGCTTAAATGATCAAGAAGTGTAAGTGATTCATTAAGTATAATTGGGCTGGTGCTGCTCCTTGAGGGCTTGTCTGAACAGCTGATCCAACTTGTCAGGAGTCCACACTAGTACATCTATCTTGTAGGATCAGAATACAAATTATTCGCTATATGTTAAACTCATCATCATCACGACCTGGAGTTTTCAGTGGTTATTCAGCACTCTGTATTATTTT